TTTTATAAGAATCAGCAATTTTTAGCTGTTAACTATGACAAAGTTTCAACAAAAATAATATTAAGAGGCAAGATTTAGGAGCAAGATAATGTTTGGTTAGGGGGTGCGCGATAGACTTACCTCCACGTGGTGTACCATGGGCAACGTATACCCACATGGCAAGAAAGTCTATTAACTGGCAGTTGATTTCTCACTTCAAACTACCATGGCCCCACTGTATGTCATATTTGACCCCTTCCACAGTACTCATCTTACTTTTTCTCTGCCTTTGTGTCTGTCTGTTTCTTTTACATCCGTGAATCACTCTTCTGTTCACTCTCTCGAATTTGTCACTCTTCCATGCTCCTCCCCTCTGTGAAGCCCGAATGGCTAATGAGAACTATCAAAACGCCTGTCATTTGAAATAAATGTTTGCTTAGCGTATTTTGCCTACTGCTAAAAGATCGTCTAGTTGTATTCAGGTAAAAAGGTGGTAAAATTAAAGTGTATCTAAAAGATGACAGGAAATTGCATATTTTTAGCGGCATTTGTTCTTTATGGTATAACTTTAGTATAACTTTCGGCAGGTGCTACAGAATCTCTTACCTATTCCTAGTTTGCGTGAATTGACTCCATACTTAGGCTATTTTTTTAACTTACCGAAGGACTGTCAAGTTTGCCGTGTTTTCGCCTCGAACAATTTTCATTCGTCTTCCCTGACTCATCCGATAACTTCTCGTTTGTCCACTTTTTAAGGCTACATCAACTCAGACTTTGGGACTTTTAACTCAAGCCGCACTTTTGCATTGACCCAAAATTAATTCCATTATAGGTGATGAATGATTACCTGGTTAGTCAGAAATTCCAGTGACAACTTCCCACTGGTGGTCTTACCTATCCTATTTTGAGCTTGGAAATCTGATCAAATTGATGAGCCAGTACGCTTCTGATGAAGCCTACGGGCTGCTCCTAAGTTCAGCGAAGATAGGTCAGTTGAAGTTCAAGCACCTTTTGAGGTGATGCCCGTATTCACCAAAGTATTTCAACTTGCAAGCACCTACATCACAAGCCCTTAATTTATCAAAGCAAAAAATTTCAACTTGTTATATTGATGGACGTTTTGATTGAATTAGCTAAAATAATTGCATATTGGTTTTCAGAAAACTGACCTGAGTTTATTTCATGAATAATTTTTTGGGAATTGGAATGAGCAACTCATTTGTCTGAGATAAAAAACGGACATGTAGGGGGTCGTGTAAGATAGGCACACAGTAAATGGCAGGAAGTATGCAAAATTCAAAGTAGCACGACAGTAATTAATTTTCGCTCAACTCTATGGCAGGTGAGAGAAAAGTATTCACCGGAAATTGTTCAAACACGCCTTCCAACACGACAAGGAGTATGGCCTCATGGTCTGCAGTAATCTCTGCTCACAAGATGCCTGATCTGCTATTGGACTAAATTTAAATGTTGCCTTATTTTTGCTGAACTAACAAATCCTTGCTCAACTTTAGTAAAATTTATTAGAGTTAATGTTCTATTTATTCATTTCTTAACCTAGTGTCAAAATGGCCCGCATGGCTCCTGGTTATTCAAGTGCTTGGAGCCACATTCACGGCTTCCGCTTTGATCTGGTGTTTCTGTTGGCGTCATCCCTGCCGCCATCGGCACCTCATGTTTGAACGGTTCTCTCGGTGGACCTCCCACCACTCCTTCGTTCTATTACGTCCTCAAGATGACTGTAGGCTCATTATGGTTGGCATTACCGAAGATGGAGGCCATCTTGGCAATGGTAGCACACCTCCGCAAATTATTTGAAAATATCGCATCAGAGTTTTGGTTCATTTATTAAGTATCTTCAATTGAACATTTTATCTCCGCCAATTGAACCCCAAACAGTTTACAGTTTTAGTTTTGGGATTACTATGGCATCTAGTTTAACTTTTTTAAAAATGCGTATTTTGGACGTTGTCGACTGTAATTTTCTTGTCGTGTGCAATTAAGTTTGTTCCTTTTAATTATTTTAAAAACTACGAATGTCTTGTGTTTCTTCTTGTAGTTGCATTTTATAAAAGCGAAAAATGGACATCCTTTATGGTCTGTCATTAATTTTAACAGTTCTATCTATCGGGGTGCTCTATCAATCACGATTTCGTTTGGAATAAGGAAAAAATACGCAAATACAAGGTCTTGGGCTTTATTATTTGTGAAATTTCTACCAGATATCTACAAACAGAAATATATTTGATTAACTCACTTTTTTAAAATGAGGATGGATTTATAAAACAAGGTCCTATTATCATTAATGTTGAGTGCTATTCGATATATCCATATAGAATAGATTACATCTTGCAGCATTGTGAAAGCTGTGTAAGAAGACTAGGCATTGAGAGAACAGACTAAATCCTAATTTGACAAGTTGAATATACTATTAATCGTAACGATTGCTAAAGCCTTTGGAATTTTGAAGACATTAAATTGATTATATGACCTTTCAACCCAACGTTTATCAGAGGCTAAGGAATCACAATTTATCTTTACAAGCTTTCGTTAGCGGCTTTTAAAAACGGTTAAAAGTAAATAGAATGATAGTATATCATTACTTTATAAAGTTCAAGTCGTTATTTGGAAAACGTGTTTAAGCTATTATAAAATGTAAGGATCAGTATTGGTTTGAAGGTGTATTAAGTTAGAAGTAATTTGATTTACCAAGAGGCAAAGTACGATGAATATTTGTAAATCAATGAAATTTAATAAAGAGCTTCTTATCAAGATTATGGAACTTATAAGTGCATCCCCTTTTGCATAAGCCTGGCTTATAGTAGAAAATTAAACAGAGAGAAAGTTTAATAGAGCGTAGAGATTCGTTCTTTGCAGTTCCCAAAATATAATTGATTTGAAGCCTTTGGAGATTGATATATTTAATTACAAACTTTAAAGTATTAAATTATATGTATATAGTATGTTTTTAAAGATTATCTGAAACTATTTCACTGTGGATGACTTTAAAATTGTTATTCAAGGTTATAAAGCTACCGATAATTGGCTTGCTGTGGCAAGATCGCCCAATTCGCCTTGAATTAGTCAGCTGTGTTTGAAAATGAACGAAACCAATTTTGATGTCGTTTTCATCAATAATCTAAAGGTATTAGGAGCTGATTTGAAATCACTTAAATTACCAAAAGATTCTTCTGCCTTGGGGTTTGTTGATTAATTAATCATTAATATTACATAGAAATGCCTTCCGCAATTATCCAAAATTACTGCTAGCCCAGTTATTCGGTTTTCTCCTTCGAAAATTTGATGAAGATAGATTTGATCGGCTCATAAAGTTTTGGTCATTTCATGCTTTAATACCATCTCCAGGCCACTTTTAGCTTGCTACAACCGGGCTATTGACAATCAATTGAAGAATATTTTCCACATGTGGATTAAAGAATTTCCAATTGTAAGCTGACATTGGGTTACTTATGCAATTTATCAGAATCTTGGTTTAAGTACAAGTTTTTCACGAGTGTGGAGCGTACCTTGCCCCAGGACTTATTGTAAATTTTTTGCCATTTTGTCTACTCAGGTCATAGAAACCTGCATTGAGCGTGGAGGTAACTTGTGTATATTTTCTTTGACATTCTAGATTTTGGCTCCGATGTCGGAATTCTCGATGATGTTGATGAATATGTTCACGAATACTTGGAAAATGTCTCCAAGATTCATTCGAGATCTTCTGTGACCGAGAGGCTAACTTTTATTGATAAATCATTTTCACAGGAAAATCAGTCCGATATTCTAAAAAGCTGCTTAGAATATGCCAAACTTAAAAATCATGCTTCACAAGAACTTGCCATTCAAGAGTTAACAGCTTTCCAATTTACACGCTTTAATGAAACTCAAGATCTCAAGAAACGATTATCTTCCCTCTATTCTGAATGGCTCTCAGTGAAACCCATTTTTTCTGATTTTGCTTCCGTTTGTGAGAATCCACCTAAAATAACTGCGACGGATTTAAAAGATCCTTCTATGTCTCTGTCTGAGTAAGGCTTAGTATTAATTTCACCTGTCTTTCTTCAGATTGCTGAAAATGTCTGGTGAGATATTCACTTCAGTTCAAAAGTTTCTGTTCCGGTATAATGGCGCTGAAAGTGAAATTTCATCCGATTTATTATGGTGTTGTAATTCGATAAATCGATTGATTGAGTCAGAGAAATTTGCAGATATGAAGAAGATGGATGTAAGCACTGAAACAATCTCATCTAAATTGGATATTATCATTAATAAACTTAGTGAAGCTATTGCTGAATCTGCTGATACATTGTGAGTTATTTTCTGTTTGGTATTTTGTCAGCCTATCAGTTGGATCATTCCATTGGTTGCCATGTTATTCTCCCTAGGTCCGTATCAAGAAGTGGGCGTTCTGGTAGGATTTTAGGAGATTCAAAAGGAAAACGTTCTGCCGATAATTGTTCCATGAATTCTTCACTACTTCTCAAGAGTCCCTTCTCTCCTGTCTTTCAACCTTGTAAGTGGACGTTCTCTTAATTATGCTTATCTATACCAAATGGTAGGCTTTGTGATAGTTACAATTAGCACCTTATCTGACTTCGGGCTTCATAGAGGGGAGGTACATCAGTCACGAAAAGTCGAGAGGAGGGGGGACAGAAGAGTAATTCATAGATGCAAAGGTAAAGTGAAATGAGTACTATGGAAGTCGTCGGATATGACATAGAGTGGGGTCATGGTAGTTTGTTGTCAGAAGTCAACTGCCAGTTTATAGACTTTTCGCCGTGTGAGTATGCGTTGTCCGAGGTGCATCACGTGTAGATAAGTCTTAATTATGTTAAGACAGTGTAATTTTGTCTGTATGCTATTTATAGTCAACAAATCGGAATTGAATGATATGCATAGATCTCGGCAAAATTTTCTATTTTCTTTACTTTATCTCAATCAATGTCCCTTAATTTTAGAATATCATAGCAATTCTGTTAAATTTTCAATCAATGCAATTGTTAAATTGTTACTCTAGTTTATTTTCACATAGAGATTGTAGAAGAATAAAACGAAATTTTGGTTTATTGACGACTTAAATAATATGGAGCATGGTATTTTCATCCAATTCTATCAACAAAGAGAGGGACGTGACACCTAGTAAGTTAGAAATGCAAATGAATGTCGCTAATAAATCAAGAACGTCGTTATTAACCTTCAAATTCAATGCCTCAACGTGGGAGAACTTGCAACCCATCCGCCGATTAAGGGGGCCATGTTTTGCTTGTCTAGGTGGGAATTCTGGAAATTATTAGGTACGAAAGTAAAAATTGTATTGTTACGAATGGTCTTCCTCGAAAGAGAGGAGTTCCCTTTAAGTCCCTGTTGGCCAAGTTCTACTCTGGTGACTGTCAATTACGTTTCTATTCTCACAATGAAATACATTTGTGTCAATCGTAATGAAAATACTTTGGTAATAAATGTGCTACTTATAATTTTCGAGTAGTAGACATGGCATTTCTATCATTACTAGTTTTTTAGCTCTTTCAGCTAATCAAATTGACAAGAAAACCTCGGAGGAAGCTAATTTGGGAGCGCAAATACTACCGACGAAATCCTTTTCAGACGAGGCTACTGAGCCTACCGTATTTGAAGCAAAAGGTGAATATTTTTATGTCTTAATAGGTTGACAAAATTTTAGTCAATTGCTCAATTTTGTTCGTTTGTATATAGGCTTTGAGCTCGATTTATATATTGTTCATTCAATTTTTAATGAAATTTGTCCTCTTTTTACTTTTGAAGTAATTGGAAACCCCTTTTCAATTATAATTTTGTATTCATTTAAACAACTCTCTCTGTTGGGATAAGTTAAATTGATTTTCCAATTATTAATTATAAATTTTTTTAAATATATTTTTGTCTTTTCTTGCAGATGAAGTGCATCTTACTGAACTTGTCAATCAGTCCGAAGAAAGTGGTCCTGGTTCAATCCTCAAAAGTCCTCTCACCTTTGAGATTTACCATTGCAATGATCCAGTTATTGATCGTAAGCGAAATCTTTTGATTTTCAGTCCTCCTTTTTTCTCCCTATTTTGGCACTTTTCGAGTCTATGGTTGCACAGGTTTTGTTAGATTCCGAGTTTGGTTAATTGCAACTGTTTACTCTTGTAGCAGAAGCCGAGTTTATCGGCGACGAAATGCCTGCCAAATCCATTCTGAAGCTCCCTAGTTTCAGTTTTTCACCAGAGAACTCCAATTTCACCGACGACGGTAAGTTGCACGATGTCTATTTCCTTCGCGTTTGACCAGTGAACGCCACTATTAAGGCCAAATACTTTGTAATTTTGTTAATTATAAATTAATTGAATTTAGAAGCTTTAAAATAGCCCAATAGTGTGTCAAGATGAGAATATATATGTGGTGGAAGTTGAATTTAAAGGACTTCATATTTTTTATTCGAGGCGTCCCCTGTTTTTCGGTTTGTTCATTGACAATTGACATTTTGATCAGTAAATTTTTTCGTCTGCTTACCAAGAAAAATTCGGATTGATGCCAAAGTTGGCAGCATTTCGGCTAAGCTTTCTATGTGAAGGTTGAATTTTTTGTCTTTATTGCCGTTCACATATATATTAAATTCACAACCTTCGAGATTATCTTTCTGGAGTAAATAATGTCAGTCTACAAAAAATATTTCCAATTCTTTTCCACAAGTGCACGTGAACCCCTTTTTATAGCCTTCCTACCAGTAACTTATTTGATATCAATTTATTTATATCAAATGGCAGGCGTCTTGATGGTTATCATTAGCCCTTTAGTTGACTTCAGACTTCACAGAGGAGAAGGAACATCAAATTGAAAAAAAGTCGAGAGGGGGAAAGAGAAGAGTGTTTCAAAGATGTAAGAGACATACACAAAGGTAGAAAAAAGGTAAGAAGAGTACTGTGGAAACAGTCGAATATGGCATAGAGTGAGGTGGTGGTAGTTTGAAGTGAGAAGTCAATTGCCAGTTGATAGACATTTTTGCCGTATGAGTATACGTTGCCCAGGATGCACCACGTGGAGGTAAGTCTATCGCACACCCCTATTTGATATCAAAAGGTAAACGGAATGCTGTAAGGTGTGCATTGAATAAACGGACTGGGGGTAGTCAACTATTACCCCACAATTAAGAAATAACGTCAATTTAATTCGCCTCTTTAACAAAATACGCACTTTGCCCCCGTTTTAACATAATTACACTGTTACTTTAGCATTTTCTCAAATGTTTCCCTAGTATAAAAGTTAATTCTGTTTAACGTGTACAAATCGAGTGCAGTTTCCGTTTACTGACAAATAAATCTCCATTTTTACGAGCCAAAGTTTTCGCTAC